AGCTAAGGTTGTGACCCTGAGCACAGGGACTCCAGCTCGTAACCCCTCAGGGGAATGGACAATGGAGCAACTTAATATGTTGGACAGGAAGTAGACTGAAAAAATCAAATTATGCTTCCGGTTCCTTCATCAGGATCACAAGACAAACACAAAAAATCCCCCCAAGAGGAACAATTCTTCTCTGCTTTATTTACCTCCATCGCAATCCTCTCCTCCTCTTCTTCTGCCTACCTAGCAGCTCTTTGAGGGAAATACATCATTGAACGTATAGAATTTCTGAGATACAAACTGAGAGAGGGGCTTTGAGAGCTCCTGATAGGATGTTGATACAATATAACAGGGCTCTTGGTTTTAGCTGCCTCCTATCTATGCTCCCTATGTTGTCAATTCTGTACCTTCATGAAGCAGCCAAACCAGAGTGGGTAGAGCACCCAGTTTAGGACTCAAGCCCAAAACCTGAGACTAAGTTTTACATTCCATTTATCAGTGTTTACTGTACTGCTCCCCTCTTCCTCCACCTGTATGTTTAACATCCATACCTGCCCAACATCAAGCAATACCAACTTTCTCCTGGGGAATAAGCTGGAATTTACCCAACTAGGTGCCTTGAACGCATGGATTCTGAAAATCCCTGTAAAATTCCCTGTAACTTCTCTTGCTGCTACTCTAACAAAAATACTAAATAAGTGCTCTTCAAATGTTACAAGAGAGATTGAAATAAGGCCATTTCTTCAGGTAGCATAAAGAGGTTGTGCCAGGAGTGGGATTTGAACCCACATCTCCAGAGGGAGACCAGAACACCCAATTGTGGGAAAGACAGAGCCTTGAGTCTAGTGCCTTAGACCACTTGGCCATCCTGATGCTGTTAGAAATAAAAGCCCTCTCTCAACCCTAGTTTTCTTAAATATTTTATACAGCACAGCTGGTTTTTAGACACAATCACCCTCACCTAAAGTTGCAGGTTTCCTAGAACCCTGGGACTTCTGAGGTGTTCTAGTCTCCCTGCTCGCTTATTAGGGGAATAAAAGATGGACCCGAGGATAGAGGCAGAATACAGACACTCAGCTTTACAAGAACCTCAGACTCCCGCACGGTGAGCCACATAGTCAAGCAGCCAGCACTCACAATCGGATCCGGCTTTTTTTTCTTCTTCTCCAAAATAGCTCAGCACTCAGTATGTTGAGCCCTTCTGGAAATCTTGCAAAAGAGTTTGGTGCCTGAATGGGAGTTGAGTTCTTATGACAATGATTTTTTTTTTGGTTTTGTTTCACCAAGAAAATTGGGGGGGGGGATATTAATCTAGGGTGAACCTGAATCTTTATTGCTGTTTTTGGTCAGCTCCACTAAGCTGTTTCGGAAGCCGGTCTAGTCCCCATTACAGAGGGTACAAGAAGAGAGAGTGAAGGAACCCCTGTGCTCAGTATCACAACATGAGCCCAACCAAAAACATTGAAACAAGCTTTGGCTTCTCCCAGTTTGTCAACTCTGTGCAGGCAGGAAGCAGGCAAAGTGCTAACCTCCGCCCCCCATGGCCTCACTCATTTTGCTGATTTTCTTGCCTCTGTTTCCCTTAACCAAAATAAGAAAACAGAAGATAACAAACAAGTAACCACTTTGTCTGTTCTCCAGCCAGCACACTTTAAACTCACTTAAAATCATTACCCGTGTCTCTTGTAAGGTATCATAACAAAGGTTATAAGCTACTGAATATATTCCTCCTATTTGTATGCATGTATCATTCTTGTACCTGAAGCTAGAACTATGAAGTAGAACGTTGAGGTCCTATTGTAATTATGCAAAGCGTGGGCCACTAATGGTGGTTTAAAATCTTGATGGCTCCCCTTGACCCAGACAATTGGTTGTAAATGGTTTATTTACCTGCAAACCTTCCTGTGTATGTGTGGGCCAACCCAGGAAGAATGGAGACTGGGGGGGGGGGGTCTTACAGTGACATGTGACCATGTCACATGATACTGGAATCCATCTTAAATCTGGTATTTTTCCATTTAGAAGGATGGGTGGAGACCCAGAGAGACAAAAGATTCCCGCCTTGTGCCAAAGCTATAAAAGGGGGCGAAACAGGACAAAGGGGCTGCTGGTCATGAGAAAACCCCTGCTTAGAACCTAAGATGTCTGCTGGAACTAACAAGGACTGTACCAGGGGACAGGTTTGGGCTCAGACTAGGAAGGAGTCTAATCTGTGAAAGAAGCTTATTGGACCATCTCTGAGGGTGAGATATTACCTGTGATCAGTTTCTTAATATATTAGGCTTAGGCTTGCGTGTTTTGTTTTATTTTGCTTTGTGACTTACTTTGTTCTGTCTGTTATTACTCGAAACCACTTAAATCCTACCTTTTTATACTTAATAAAATCACTTTTCTTTATTAATAAACCCAGAGTAAGTGTTAATATCTGGGGGAGCAAACAGCTGTGCATATCTCTCTATCAGTGATATCGAAGGGGAACAATTGACGAATTTACCCTGTATAAGCTTTATACAGGGTACAACGGATTTATTTGGGGTTTGAATCCCATTGGGAGCTGGGTGTCTGGGTGCTGGAGACAGGTGCTGAGCTGTTTTGCGTTAAAGTCTACAGCTTTGGGGGCGTGGCCCAGACCCTGGGTTTGTGTTGCAGCAGGCTAGGGTGTCTGGCTCAACAAGGCAGGGTTCTGGAGTCCCAAGCTGGCAGGGAAAACGGGATCAGAGGTAATTTCAGCACATCAGGTGACAGTCCCAAGGGGATCTCTGTGACCAAAACCATCACAGTTGCGTAGTCGACCAGGATATGTGCACAGCTGATTGCTTTGAGACACTGGTAATGATTTTAAGTGAGTTTTAAGTGTGCTGGCTGGAAAACAGACAAAGCGGTTACTGCTTTGTTATTTCCTGGTTGCTTATTTCGGTTAAGGGAAACTGAGGCAGGAAAATCAGCAAAATGAGTGAGAGTGAGGAACAATGTGTTGAGCCCTTCTGAAAATCTGGCTAAAGATTTTAGTGCCTAACTGGGAGCCTACTTCTTCTGAAAATCTGGCTCCAGTGGTGGGTGTGAGACCTTCTGAAAATTCTGGCCATTGTGTCTGGAAGCTCCAAGAACCGTCACAACTTTGAGCATTTACTAGAACAGGGTGAAAAAACCTTCCTTCCTTGACCTACAATCCCAATATTTCATCTTGATTCCAGGTTTAGGTTTTATGTTTAGATGCAATGCCAAACAAACACCCCTCTCTAGACATTTGAAGAGGGAGAAAGAAATAGACCTGCCACTAAACCATGTTGCCTTTCATCAGTAGCCACCTGAGCAACAGGGTAACCACTGGCCTACAGGTGAAAGGCCCATAGCCCATGCTCAGAAGCCTTCAGCAGCTAGATCTCAGGAATGGAAGAGTTTAATCATCTGTCTCCGGGGTGGTTACTTCCAAACACTTGTATATAGCGTTGGGTGAAAGATTTGGGGGTGAATATTATATTTGGTGAAATATTTTGGTGGACCCAAAATGATTGTTTTGTTTCACCAAGAAAATGGGGGGGGGGAATTGCAGTTTGACCCAAGATCAATGTTGTTATAATTTGGGTTAGGCTAGGTAGCAAGGGAAAAAATCAATTGTTTGCACAAGTGTATTGGTCTAAGAGGCCATAGAGCCTGGGCTTTAAGGGGCAGAGAGGGAAGCTGTCCATATTTTATTCATAGGTAGAGTGAAGTTTTGGTTGTCACCTGCACTGCAAACAGTTTTCCAGCATTCTAAAGGAGCATGGGAAGTTACCTTTTTTCTGTTGAATCGCAAGTTAGGAAGGGAAGGAAGCTTTTTGTTGAAAAATGTCATTCCCTGACCGGGAATTGAACCCGGGCCGTGGCAGTGAAAGCGCCAAATCCTAACCACTAGACCACCAGGGAAAGTGCTTTTGATTGGTTGGGCTTGACTTTCTAGCCCTACTTTCTGTCCAACTGATGAACTTCCTTCCTCTTCAAAGGATGTTAACACAAGCTCTGAGCTCCTCATTTCCTTACGGTTCCCTTCATAGTTTTAGCACAGTAAATTGATATAAAAGAGAAACAGAAAACATTAAAACAATTTCCAGTATTATTATATATTGAGGCCACGTCTTTTTTGTTGTTGTTGTTGTTGTTATAATAGTTTTATGGCTATCTTGTTTTACTCTCCATGCGCTTACAGAAATGTACAAGGGATGAATAAGATATGGTTGGAATCTTCAGCCTCAAGCAATCTCCATCACAATGAAGAGGGCTGGTGGAGGATTTGAGAAAGGAGTATTTATCTCAACTACTGAGTGCTAGCAATGATGTAGCAAGAAGTAGAGAAGCTACAGATCACTGATGGGGGGCAATCAGCTTCTGTCACCTTATTTTTTCCCTCTCTTCCCTGCGCTAGAAGAGACTCAACTCTCCTAGGACCACGGAATTGTCAATTTGTCTTCTCTTCATCTTCTACTAAAGGTCTGAGGAGAGAAAGTGGATTCCATTCTGGCCTGAGAATATAAGGGAAAGAGCCATATCTAAGACTGCAAGATCAAACGCCCAACATGGGGCTTGAACCCACGACCCTGAGATTAAGGGTCTCATGCTCTACCAACTGAGCTAGTCGGGCGATGCCTGAAGGCTTCTCAAAGGCACAGAGGGTACCGAAGGAGCCCTAAGGAAGTTTCTTTGCATGCTGAGATTCGTTTTCTGACATTTGCCTTCTTTCCTGGTGCCTTCGCTCTGCAGCTAGCAAATAGGGCCTGTTACAAAGCTGGTTAGATGCTGGCGTCTAGACCAGAGAAGTGGGGTTCATCTAGCAGCTGCTCAGAGAAACCAGTGTGGGAGGGTGGAATTTAGGATTCTCCCACCAAGAGGAGGTGCTGTTTCTCAGAAAAAGCTTCTCAGCGCCCAAACAGGGGGCAGTCAAGACAGTTCCCCACCCTAGATTTATATTAAAATATTAATCTAGGGTGAACCTGAATGTATATTGCTGTTTTTGGTCAGCTCCACGAGGCTGTTTCGGAAACTGGTCTAGTCCCCAGTACAGAGGGTACAAGAAGAGAGAGTGAAGGAACCCCTGTGCTCAGTATCACAACCTGAGCCCAACCAAAAGCATTGAAACAAGCTCAAATTACGCTTTAGGTTCTTCCATCAGAATCCCAAGAGCAAGACAAAGAAATCTCAGGAGGAACAGTCCTCTGCTTTCATTTACCCCATCGCAACCCTCTTCACTTCTACTTCTGCCTACCTAGAGGCTTTTCCAGTAAAACCACTCAGCTGATTATAATTTTGGCATAGAAACCCAGGGAGGGCTTGTGCTCCCCCTCGATGTGAGCGGATAGCATTCTGACTTTGTCTAAAGGGTTTCTCAGCTTTGGCTTCTCCCAGTTTGGAGTGTCTAAGGGAATTGCTTGTGTGGCTTGTGGTTAGCCAGTGGGGCAAAACCAAAGTCCTCTCTGTCTGGCTGGTTTGGTTTGCCTTAGAGGTGGAAAAACCTCAGCCTTGGGTTATAACTGCCCTGTTTTAAGCAATTTGTCCTGAATTGGCACTCTCAGTTGGGTCCCGCCAGAACCAGCATCCTTACAGCATGCCAGATTTCTAGCCAGCTTTTTCCAGTCCTTTGTTCCTATAGAACCCAACGTGGCTGGAACATTAGACTGGAAGAGTTTGCAACAAAAACTATATGCAGCATTCTGGGTGTTTGAGTACATAAGCCATGGCCTCTCCACATTGTCACCATTGGGGATTTCACGCCAGTAATGAATTAGATGGAAACTTCTATTTTCATTGTCTTTGGGGAACATGAAGTTTTTCACTTGCTGTGGCCCATGCGGTACAAACAAGTCCCTCAGGCTACTGCTCAAGTGGGTCCACAGTCCTGA